CCCACCCAAACTGAACATATGGGGCAGTCAGTATTTTATACCAGCCACTGTGCCATTATCAACTCCCAAAACAAGTAATAGTTAGTCAACAAGCATTTATTAAATGCTTACTATGTGTCAGGCATTATTCTGGGAATAAAAAGAAAGGCATAAATATGATCCCTGCCCTCACAAGCTCCCATTTAAAGGGGCGACAACATGTAAACAGCTACATACATACAAGATATATACAGTGGAAATGGGAGATAATATTAGAATGACAGGACTGGGGGAAGGAGGGAAGACATTGAGCAGTCAAAGAAATTAAAATAACAGAGCTATTAGAAAGTAATGACATTTACCAATGAACAGCCCTCTTCCACATGTGGGCTTGAAGTCTCAGTCACTCAAGGTCAGGTCTAGGTTGGCACTGATGTTTGCTGTTCCTCAGAGGCTCTGATCTGTGAAATGTTGATCCTCCACTGTGGTCTGTCCCACAGTTCTATGCAGCTCCCAGAAACCAGCATCAGGAATTGCTTTCAGGCACAACCAACTCCTCCACCAGAGCAAATCTTTCTCTGTTGTTGGACAGGATTCTCACCCACTACAGGAAAGCTTTTGGCATGTTCCCTATCTGGCAAAAAATGCAGTTTTTTCTGCATTCTATTATCAAATGGCCCAGTACCACAATGGGGGTACTAGACTCAGCTTCCTGAGTTCAAATCTGGCCTCAGACACTTACTAGCTATGTGATCCCGGGCAAATCACTTAAACCTGTTTGCCTCAGTTTCTTATCTGCAAAATAAGCTGGAGAAGGAAATGGCAAACCACTCCAGTGTCTTTGCCAAGAAAATCTTAAATAAGGTCAAGAAGAGTCAGATACAACTGAAAAAGTAACATAATAAGGATCTTTTCTTACTGAAACGACTCTCCTTTGTTGTTAAATGGCTTGCCCAGGGTCACACAGCTAGTAAGTATCTGAGGCCGTATTTGAACTCAGGTCTTTCTGACTCCAGGCCTGGCACTCTATTCTCTGTACCACCTAGCTTCCCCCATTCCCCTTTGTACTCTACCCTTATGGACCTTGGTCACACAAGAGATTTTTCAGGGAACTCAACTCCCACTAACTGTATCTCTGTGACATTCCTAGTCAATAACATCAGGTTCAGACAGAGCAAATAAAAATTATGGTGACTACAGTGCTTTGCATAGAGAAAGAGCTTAACAAATATTTTTTAAAAAAATTCATCTCAATGTCCTTTTTCCCTACTTCACTCTAGAGGTTTGCCTCCCACCCGAACAAGCACTCCTTACTCACTCAGAAGCTGACAAAGTGCCCCAATTTTCCACTAATCATATCTCTTAAATTCCAAGGAGTTTAAGGCAACAGGATGACTAATCACTCAAGTCTTACTGACTTTTACCAGCCACATGAAGGAGGCAACTTTCTAGTTCTCTGTCCTCATTTCACCAAGGAACATGGCTTCTTGCAAGGAGATTGGAAATGATGGTCAAGGAATTATGGCTTTAATAGCCATACATTATACAATGATTCCCTATTTATCAATATTAAGCAAGATATAAAACACAGACATATGTGCTCACCAACAGTGCGAGGAATTGTCAAGGAAGATGTCATGGATAAAGTTCAAATGGAAGAGAAACTTCTCATATACGGGAAGATTCTCTTTGTTTTCCTGGTTGTGGATACCACTGTGCTGATTCTTTTGACCCCTGGAACACAATGGACCTCCTTAATAAGTTCATGATCACTTGAAAGAGATACATTAAGCAATCCATAAAGTAAAAATAAAATAGATGAAGAATGACAATTGTCTATTTTATGCCTTGCAATTGGATAGGCAACCCATTGAATTAAGTCAGCAAGCATTTATTAAGTACCTACTGTGTGCCAGGCACTGTGCCTTCCAAAGCCAGTCTTCCAAACCCAGTCATGGCCTTGGAGATTATTTTCCCAGAGTGAGCAGAATCAGTCAATTAAGGAATCAGAATTTTTGACCAGAAGTATATCCTAAGGATAATCTGGTTGAAACCTTCATTTACAGATGATGTTACTGAGGCTCATAGCAATGAAATGACTTACTCAAAGTCACACAGTTAACCTATGGCAGAGCTGTGATTGAACCCTCCTCTCCTTCTCCCAATATATTGTTCTTTCCACTACAGTGTACTGGCTACTACTACTCCATTCAGAATACCTATGCATCTTGGGAAAACCTCAGGTGTTTCTGCCTTATTTTTTTAAGGGAAATCCCTGCTAAAGGAAAGAACTTACCTTATCAAACCAGAAGCCTAAACCATGTGACATTTTCCTATAGTGTAAAACTAAAATCAAAATTGAGTATCCCCTTCTCTCTCTCTTTTTCTCTTAATTCTATCAGATAAACCTCTACCTTGGGAGTGGGAGAAGGAGGAAAAAGCAGAACTAACTGAATTTTGAGCTTTGCTGGTGACTTTTGAGAATTTAAAAGCTGGTCTAACCCCAATCTTATCAGAAATTTTAAGAAAGGAGACTTTTGCCTTTCAGGAAAGCAGCCCCATATTCAATGTCACACAGTATCAAAGAAATAACATTAGTTTGGGCATCAAAGGATGCTGGTTATCCTTTCTCAAGAGCAGTGTTGACCCTCAGTAGCCAAATATAAAGAGACCAGAGCTTTGGCTTCATTTGAATAGACACACTTTGATAGGTCCTTCAGAAAGGAAAGATCCATTTTGTTTTTCCTAAAGAACAAATGCTTATTCCAAGTTTACATGCCTGCAGCAAGTGCCAGCAATTCAAATAATGCAGCTGAATTTATAAGACAGCTAAATAATTTTATGACTGCTAGAGTATTTATACAGTTGCTGAGGAAGATCAGATAGCAAAAACAGGTAATAAACATCACAATCTGTTCAACTGTATGTAGATCATTGTCATCCATGTGCAAAAAGGATCATTAAGTTTCTAAGCTGCCCATACCCTATTAACCACCAGTCCCATTACTGAACATGGAACCAAAGGTCATTGGGTATAGATATGTTCACTGATGTACTCTTTGTGGTATTAGAGAGCCAGAAACAAAGTATGTGCCCATTGATAGACATATGAGTGAAAGAGCCATAGTTCATTAATTTAGTACGATATTATTTTATAGTAACAAATAATGAATATGAAGAATGAATATAAGCAGGGGAAATTTTGTGTGAACTGATGTGGAGAAAATAAGCAGAATCAAGAAACAAAATATCCACAATGACTCTATCAGCATGAAAAAATCCAAAAAATGAAAAAAAATGTTACTAAAGGAAAGTCACACTCTGAGTAAATTAAAAAGCAGAGAACATTCCTGGAGAACATATAGCTAAACATATCTTACTTACTGCTGTTAGCCATAATTATGGTAATAAAACATTGTGTATGGGCATAACTAGAGAACCTATACAGCCTGGCACTATGGTGTCGATTTTGCCCACTTGGGACATCCTAAAAGAAGAAAGGTGAAAAGTTCTCTTTATCCTAAGTACTTCTGCTGGGTTCAATATTTTTTCTGAAGTTAACTGCAAAGTTGATATACAGAGCTATCTCTAGGATACAGAATTAGCTACTGAGCTAGAACACTGTGTGCATATTAAAGGGACAACTGACCCCTCAGTCACTCTTCTCCTTCTTGCTTTGAAGTGAGAGCACTTTGAGCTGTCTAGAGGACTGGGTGTATTCTTTCCTCTGGTATAAGGCCTTGTGATAACTATCTTATGGTGGCTGAGGTAATCTTCCACTCTGGAAGGGGGAATGGGTCCTTTTTCCCACTCTCACTGTAGCTTAGGCACTCTCTCCTGGGAATGGTTGAACATCCTGTCATCAGCCACTTCTGTTCTAAAGATACCACTGCTGCTGCTTGAGGATGGGAAATGTTGCTGCTGAAACTAAAGGCCTCCAGGCCTTTTGAGCTTTCATAAGGCCCATTTTCAAAAGAAGAAAGACACAAAAGGAAACAGACATCATCCTAGGCATAGGCTTGTCTAGTCAGGGCCATGTGCTCAACTTGGATTACCTTTGACATATCCCAGGAGCTATCATGAAGACTTCATCTTTCAATGAGTGTCTAGAACCCTCCCCATGCTTCCTTTGGTCACTAGGGATTTTAACTGAACATACCCCAAAAGGGATGAGAACCAGAAGGGCAGCTAATACACCTTTAATCAGCCCATAATCACCACTCTACCACCACAAATGTACAGGTATAATAATGCTCCTTACTTACCCAAAGGCTTTCAATAGATCCCCAGTGGCCATTGTATACAATTCAAACTCCTTAACTTGGCATTTAAGATCTTCCACAGTTTGGCTCCAGCCTACCCTTCAAGCCTTATTTCAAACTATTTCCTTTCACCCACTCTGGCTTCCATCTGTTGCTGATCTCATCTTGTCCTCTCAAGCCCCCATGTATTTGTTAACAGGCATCCCCCACAATCTACAAGCCACAATACTTCCATATACCCTTACTGAACTCCTCTCTTTTCCAGTCCCTACTGGCTCCGTGAAGCTTCCCCAACTAAAAGTGATCTCTTTCGCCTTGTATGACTTACAAGACTTTATGTTTATCCATCTTTTGAGCTAATCACATATTCCCTTTGTTTTATACTTAGGTATGTGTAGTGAAGACTGTCTCAATTGGCTTAAAGGGAAACTTGAATAGACATATCTCTAGCGGCTCCTCCTCCCACCCTTTCCCAAGAGAAACTTTAATTCCTGCTAGGAGGGAAAGCAGAAGATTGGAGGCCAAGAGCTGGCCCCTCTGCTCTCCTCAGAGAAAGGGAGCACCAGACACTAGAATTATGTCTATGGGCTCCCTTATATAGAGTTACTCTAGGGATCTAGTTTTCAGGTTTAAGCTAAACTCATGATCATTATTTCTTCACAGGAAAGAGGACCCCAAGATCTATATCCAAGGCTTGAGCTCCTTCCCATCAAATACCAGTTCATAAATACCAATGAACATATACACATACATAGCAGATAGCAAAGAAATCTATTTATCTAAATTAACAGCAAAAGAAAAGTCAGAGAAATTATACCTACAAAATGTGTACCAGACAATACAGAGTGAAGGAGCTCTCCCATTGGGAGTTCAATCCAGGGAGTCCTAGATCTCACCCAAGAAAATTCCCTGAAGTCTCTAGTGTAGCAAACTGAAGATAGGGACATGATGAAGACTGCCAGCTCCTTTTGTGTTGGCTTTTTCCAGTCTTTTTCTCCCTTCAGCAACCTGAAGCAGGGTGGGTACTGTCTCTCTCCTCTCTTGAAGCTGGAAGCCAGAATCCCAAAAAAACTGAAGAGCCTGAAGATTTTCTCCTCTCCTTTGCCAACTTTGTTTCATCCCTCACACAGGAATAGGGCAGTGATCTTTACCAAGGAGGAGACAATCCCGTACCTATGGGATTTGGAGTTAAGATTTCATGTGTAAGTAATCTCCATTGACTATTCCATTAGCATATAAACTCGTTGAGAGTAGGGAGTGCGTGGCTTTTTATTATCACTTTTATAGTTCCATGACCTTAGCATGTTATCTTGCATATATTAATGCTTCATAAATGTCTGTTGAATTGAATTAAGTTGAGTTCTTAGCATCCCCAGGGCTGCCTTAATTCTTCCACATATTGTCCCTTATAGGTTGAATTGGACCACTTTTTCATTTTGACATTGGTTTCACCCATATAAATGTGTTGATGCACAATACTGTGAAATTAAGAAATGCAGAATAGACACTTGATGAAAATCATTATACCCAGGTGCTTGGAAGTCTTTTAAAATATAATCATTGTGCAAAATTTTAAATACCACAATTACTTATTTCTAAGCAATAATTATCTAGGTAACCACATTCATATGCCTTGATCTGTCCTGAATTCCCTGTCCCCTAGCAGGCAAAGAATTTCCTGTCTTTGGCAGGTATCCTGGTATTTATTATTGTAGGGTTAATAGTGCTTAATAATAATGCTAATTAATAAAGCAAATTGATTAATTCTATCCCAAGCACCACCTGCAATCATTTACATGATGGCAGACAGATGTTGTCCAGATGTTTCCAAGACTGATTTGGTGAGTTTCCTTCACCTTAGGCAAGTAAGGCTGAAAGGCTGCTAGAAAGGTGTCTGGCTGGCACTTAGCATCTGTAACTGGGTGAGGAACCGGGCATTTGCAATGTGCATAGGAATGGAACATTGAAGGATACACTTAAAAAAAAAAAGGAAAATAAAGGAAACAGAGCAAGGCAGATCTGTTATCATTTAACTTTGTGTTCATTAGGAATGTGCTATCTAGGCTCTGGCAGCCAGATTCTGGGTCTCATCTGTGACTGTGTCTAGACAGGGAGGTATAAGTTTAAAGAAAAAACAGTTTCTCTTCTCCTCACCCCACACATTAATAATAATAGCTAATGTATGTATATACATACATATATTCCCTCAAAGTCAGCAAAAATCACTTTGCATATATTCTCATTTCAGCAACAACTCTTTGATGACATCATTATATCATTTTACAGATAAAGAAATAGAGGCATAGTAAGGATAAGTGATTTGTCTAGGGTTATGCAGGTAGTTAAGTGTCTAAAACAAGATTTGGACCTATTCCAAATCCAGGATGCCATATATTACACCACACTGACTCTTACTGGGAAAAAAAAATTCTCATCCATGCTATCCTAAGTTCAGTTACAATTATAATCTAGTTCTCTGGTCTTCTGGAAAGTGAAAATTGTGGTTCTCTGGACAAATTAAATCTTCAGCACTAGTATTTGGACACAGAGTTGACTTCCAGAATGCCAAAATTGCTAGATTCTCCCAGAACAGAGTTGGCTGAATGGGTGACTGCCAATCACCAAACCAATTAATAAAAGCTGGGGTACTTGTTACATCAAAGCTGAAGACACCTGGCCCCAGTCAGAGTCCTAGAATCTTTTCGGCACTTTGCTAAGGACCGAACATCATACCAAGAGGCCCTTAACCAAGAGCAACTAAATCTGTAGTAGCTACTATACCTTAAAAATTGTCACTGAAGCTTCTTCCTTAGTTGAATTCAGCCTGGGGGTCATCAAAGAAAAAAGTTACAAGAGGGAGGATCTTTTGTCAAACTCCCTACAATAGAGTCAAAGGTCAAATCTGAGTTTGGGATGTAGGGAAAGGCCAAGTAGTGTATGTAAGTCTCCCAGGACATGCAGCTCAGCAGCCAGGGCTGAGAGACTGTGTTTGTCTAAGGCTGCCACTGTCAGGAGCAGATGGAGAGTGGGAGCAAACAAATGATTTTTGCACTCATAGAGTATATAAGCTAGATGTTAGGATTCTTTTCAGATTTCATCCACCACCTCCCCCCCCCCCAACACTACTATTACAGAACCCAAGTTTATCATAATCATTTGAAAGCCCCAGAATGGGCATATGGATTATACATCCTTAAGAAATAAGAAAGAGTATATGCTGGGAAAAAGAATGGGTGTTTGGTTTAATTGAATTACTGAAGATTAGAGAAATCTAAAAACAAAAATCCCTCTGCCCAAATCAGAATTGGATTTGGTTCATCTGTCTGCCATGTCTTTTCATTTCTGATTGACTCATCTCTGATTGACTCCCTGTCACACTCCCCACAACAACTGTTCCAATACTTTTCTTCCTTTAAGTTCCCAACTTCACCTACACCTCCCTCTTTCTGAACAGTTGACCTCTTCTGTCATTTTACAGAGAATCAATCAATCACCAAACACCTGTTGAGTGTTTACTATGTATACAGATATTCCATTCCATTCATGTGCCACAGTTTGTTTAGCCACTCCCTAGCTGATGGGCATCAACTTTGTTTCCAATTCTTAGCCATTACAAAAAGTGCTACTGTAAATATTTTGGGTATAGGCAGGAATGTATGGGACTTTCTTCTTATCAATGACTTCCTTGGGGTATAAGCCCAGTAATGGAGTCTCTGGCTCCATGGTATGGACATTTTAGTCACTTCATTTGCATAATTCCAAATGACTTTCCAAAATGGTTGCACCATTTTAAAACTCTACAATGTATTTAGTGTGCCTCTCACTCCACAACCCCTCCAGCATTAGCTATTACCATTTTTCATTGTTTTTGCCAATTTGCAGGATGAAAGGTAAAACCTCAGAAATGTTTTGATTTGCATTCTCTCTCATTATTAGCGATTTAGAGCATTCTTTCATGTGGTTATAAATACTTGGCAATTCTTCTTTTGAGAACTGTTTGTTCCGGTCCTGTGACCACTTATCTGTTGGAGACATGTGTAGATTTTATCCCATCACACTCTTATCTTATGTAGTTACTTATATAGTTGTATTATTCTCTAATACAATTGGAGAGTAGGAGGAGGGCAGCACATAGCAGAGGAGGATCAAACAGGATTCAGCCTAGCTGTGGCAGGGACAGCATTCTTGTGTTCTCCTATTGCACTTTAATTAGAATCTACCTACTTCACATAAATATTTGTGGTCTAGGACTATAAAACTCTCTCTTTTCAGAGTTCAGAATAAAAGATGCTTTCCCTGCTCACTCTTTAGGGAAAGGTAACACAGCTTCCTAGCCTTGGCTTAGCTCCTTTTCCTCTTACCAAATGTTGGTTATTCAATCGTGAATAGCTAAGACAAGTCTTTATCAAAACAAGCAGTAAACAGAGATCAGAGAAATTATACAGATTAGAATAGATGAATGAATACACATGAATAAGTGAGATCTTTGGGAGTAAGATGAAGTCTTAGCTCCAGAAGAGAAAGAAGAATTTCATCAGGGGAGTCTGATCTTAGTGTGTAGGGTTACAGGTGTTGGAAACAAGGATGGTAAATGTTTAATAATTGGCTCCCCAAATACATACATACACATATTATATATACACTGACACATACATATGTATGTATATGACATACTTTTAAGTTTAATTTGCATTATTAACAGTTTCTTCTTAATCTAGACAATCAATACAACAATAAATCATGCCCTGTATTACAGTGATGTCAGAATAGCGAATGTTGTAAATTAGAGATGTTGCAAAAGTGAAATCAACAGGCCTTCCTTGTCATGGGGTGAGATATGGTGAGGACTTGAGGTTGATACCTACATTGTGAACCTGTGGGACTGGGAGAATGGTGCTACTCTTGACAGTGATAGGGAGGTTCGTGCTAAGCAGTGGGCTTACAAAAGAAAGGAAAAATGTCCCTGCCCCCAAGGGGCTTATATTCTAATGGAGAAATTGTACAAGATATATACAGAACAAAAGATTCTATATAAGGCCTCTACACAGAGAGAAGGACTTCCAGAGCAGGGGTTGTGATTTAAACTTTATCACATATACTTCTTACATGTGGGCCTCACTATTATTATGGTCTAAGTTTAAGCTCACTTCTCCCATGGACGCTGTGTGTATTTGTGGGAAGGAGTAAACTGGGTGAGCATTTTGTATTAACTATCTTTACCATGTTATCTAAGCAAATACCTTTAGTAAGAACTAAATGAGACTATTGGATGACTGTCAATGGGGACTCCTGCATTGGGCACTCAGGACCTACATAGGAGGTCTCTAGAACCCTGAGAGCAGTAGTAGCTGCCCTCTGGAGACCCAACCTGCCAATTCTAGCAGAAGTTGAGGACTGATGCTATTTCTTCTCCTCCTCCTCCTACTTTTTCTTCCCTTGACACATTTGGTTCCTCTATCCAGCTGGGGCACCAAATGCCCTGCATCAGAGACCTGATGTATATCTTGCCCCTGGGCCCAAATGTCTCCAGAGGAGAAAGTGAGGCTAGTGGCTTGGATGGCCCTCCCTCATTTAAATCCAATTCACTTATAAGTCATGATATCACCCTCCTGATGCCATGGCCCTCTTTGAGAATGAAAGACAAACCAGTACCACCACCACCACAACAAACTGTCCATAGGAATATAGTTTTGGGTTGCTTATATTTTGTAAGATATTTTAGGGTTTAGGGGCTAGATTTTTTTTAAATTTAAATTTTTATTTATTTTAAAAAAGCTGGGATAATTTACATTTTGTCCTGTGCAGTTTTTATTTGCAATTTCTTGAAATGTAGCTCTGAAAAAACAGGCTTTAAAATAGCCCATTGTAATTCAAATGGCATTACTTGACTATATCTTTAAACTCAAATCATTCTGGCTTAGGATGGCCAAGCCTCTGTGGCTCATTGTTTAGTTTTGATGGCATAGAATGAGTGTAAATAGCAATTTTTTTTTCTGTTCTGGTCAGAAACTCTGAGAGTCTTCCTCTCCCAGATTCATATTTTTATGATGACAAACTAGGCCATCTTTTGTGTCAATTCTTACCTAGCCCTTAGTCATTGAAAGGATGTTGCCCTCAGACAAACAGATCTGAGAAAGACCTTAATTTAGAAAGGCCAAAGTTACCCACTGCAT